GCATACTTTCTCCAAATATTCTACTAGGTTTTTATGATTCTGCACTTGTTCAGGGGTGGAGTTGCAAAACATTGGAGGCACCTGCTGTCTTAGGTACTTGCCTGTACTGTCCTGCACACCCTGCCACTCATAACTATCCAGCTTTGGAGCAGATCTCTTGGTGGTATTCTTAAATAGTTGTTGTTTAACCTTAAACGAGACCTGAAACACATTCAGGAGAAATAGAAATAGGAACATGCTGGTTTGAACATCCCAAGGATATTAAAAATTATTAAGAGCTATTGTAACTAGCCTGGAGGATAAGAGAAAGGGAAGGTAAAGGAGCAGGGGGAAGTATCCCCCCTTGCCTTCCCAATAGATTGGCTTTCTGAGGAGAAAAGGTAAATAGTGGCATTACTAATAGATGCCGAGAGATGGTTCCTGTCTCATGGCTACAGAGGTGACAGCAGTGCTGAGTACAAATACCAGATTAGTCTCATTGCCAGTTATTTTATCATATGATAAGCCAGTGTTGCTTAGTAAAGCAAAATGATAACTTAATCCAGTCCACAGAGATGATAAACAGCACACCTGGGAGCATATAGAGCAAATAAGGTGTTACAGACTCAGAGAACAAGCACAACAACTCTGAAAGCAAATAAATCAACATTGTGACCAGTGCCTATTAAACTAATACAATGAATATTTGTAACACATTTGTTTTGACACACTCTGTTCACATCAGTCATTATCTCAACCCTTTGAGCCTGTATTTGGTTCGTGTGACAGGGTTTTGCTGGCAGGGTAGGGGCTACAGGGGTGGCTCCTGTGAGAAGCTGCCAGAAGCTTCCCCAGCTCCAAGCCAGCCCCAACTCTGGCCAAGGCCGAGCCAGCCAGCAATGGCGGGAGCGCCTCAGGGATAACATATTTAAGAGGGGGGAGGACTGCTGTGAAACCTGCAGAAGGACAGAGGAGTGGGGTGTGAGGGAGACAAGCAGGCAGACACCCAGGTCAGTGCAGAAAGGCAGGAGGAGGTGCCCAGAGCAGAGGTTCCCCTGCAGCCCGTGGTGAGAGGGCAGGCTGTGTCCCTGCAGCCATGGAGGGTCACGGGGGAGCAGAGACCTGTCTGTAGCCCAGGGAAGACCCCACACTGGAGCAGGAGACTGTGCCTGAAGGAGGCCATGAGTCCATGGGAAACTCACACTGGAGCAGGCTGCTTCTGAAGGACTGCACCCCACGGAAGGGACCCACGCTGGAACTGTTCATGAAGAACCACAGCACGTGGGAAGGACTCATGTTAGAAGTTCACAGAGAACCATCTCCCGTGGGAGTGACCCAATGCTGGAGAAGGGGGAGAGTGTGAGAGTTCTCCCTCTGAGGAGGAAGGAGTGGCAGAGATGGCGGGTGACGGACTGACCCCAACCCCATGGAAGGGGCCCACACTGGAGCAGTTCATGAAGAACTGCAGCCTGGGGTAGGACTCATGTTAGAAGAAGCTCATGGAGGACTGTCCCCCATGGGAGGGACCCCATGCTGGAGCAGGGGAAAAGTGTGAGGAGTCCTTCCCTGAGGAGAAAGGAGTGGCAGAGATGATGCATGTTGAACTGACTGGGAACCACCCATCCCCTATCCTCCTGCACTACTGTGGGGAGGAAGAAGAGAAATGGGGAGCAGAGCTGAGCCCAGGAAGAACGGAGGTGTGGAGGAAGGTTTTTGGGGTTTTTAACATCTGGGTTTTTTTATTTCTCATCTCTGATTTGATTGGTAACAAATTAAATTGATTCACGCCCCCCTGCCAATAGTCTGTTGGAGTCTGTTTTGCCTGTGATCATAATGAGTGAATGATTGCTCCTTGTCATCAGCTTTTCCTTATGTTGTCTTCTCCCCATCCCACTAGGGGGAGGACTGAGCCAGTGGCCACACGGTGCTGGTTTGCCAGCTGGGCTTAAAGCATGACAGGGAAAACAATCAAAAAACTAAAACCCATGGGTTGAGACAGTTTAATAGGACAGAAAAAAAAAGGGAAAATAATAATAGCTGAATATACAAAAACAAGTAATGGACAATGCAGTTGCTCACCACCTGTTGGCTGATGCTTAGCCCGTCCCTGAGCAGAGACTGCCACCCCTTGAACAACTCTCTCTAGTTTATATGTTCAGGATGACATCATATGGGGTAATCCTTTAGCCAGCTTGGGTCTGCTGTCCTGGCTCTGTCTCCTTTCAGCATCTTTGGACTTGCCCACAAACTGCAGTCCATTAAGGCTGTACCTGCTCTGAGTTTAGCCTTATCTATGAGCTGCAGACTCTTCAGGGGTATACCTGCTGTGGCATAGACTTATTCACAGGCACGTTGAGGTGCACTTGCTTCAGCATGGTGTTACCCACAGCCACAGTCCCTTCAGAAGGAAACCTGCTCCAGCATGGCCCTACCCATTGCTGCAGTCCCTCCACGTGTACCTGATCTGTCATGGGCTTATCCATGGCTACACGCTTTGAGGTGCTCCAGTGTGATCTCACGCACAGCCACTGATGCTTCAAGGTATTCTTGCTGCAGCATGCACTTACTCTTGGGCCACAGTCCCTTCTGAGGTACATGACCACAGACACTTTGAGATGTACCTACTCTGACGTGGACTTCCTGATGGCCATAGATGCTTTGGGGTGGCCTGCTTCCACATGGACTCATCTGCAGGTCACAATCCCTTTGACTTGAGTTCATACTGGAGTTCCAACCTGTCTAGTAGAGCAACACAGAAGCAGGAGCGATGCCGTGGCATCTGCCAGCCCAGACACATGGCCATTGCTCTTGTCATAATGTTCCCAGGCACAGCAGTCAGATGATCAGTAGGCAGCAAAAGCTGAAAGCAGCCACTAATGAGCACTAGACTCCAACATACAGTAAGGCAAGCAAGCCCCATGGCAAGCACAGGAGCCTGCCAGTTAATGGCTAAACAGCAATAACAGCTATAAATTCGATCTAGCACATTCCAATCAAATCTGTCATTATCCTGAACCCTTCGAGCCCCGCTTTGGGTGCCAAAAAGGACTGTCATGGTTTAACTCCAGCTGGCAACAAAGCACCACACAGCTGCTCACTCACTCTCTCCTACGGTGAGATGGGGGAGAGAATCGGAAGAATAAAAGTGAGAAAACTTCAAGGTTAAGATAGACAGTTTAACAGGTAAAGCAAAAGCCATGTACGGAAGCAAACTAATCCAAGGAATTCGTTCGCTACATCCCATTGGCAGACAGGTTTTCAGCCTTCTCCAGGAAAGCAGGGCTCCATCGTGTGTAATGGTTACTTGGGAAGGCAAACACCATCACTCCAAATGTGCCCCCCCCCTTTCTTCTTCCCCCAATTTTCTGTGCTGGCATGACATCATATGGTGTGGAATATCCCTGTGGTCAGTTTGGGTTAGCTGTCCCAGCTGTGTCCCCTGCCAACTTCTTGTGCACCCCCAGCCTACTTGCTGGGGGGATGATACAAGGAGCAGAAAAGGCCTTGACCCTGTGTAGGCACTGCTCAGCAGTAATGAAAACATCCCTGTGTTATCAACACTGTTTTCAGCACAAATCCAAAACAGAGCCCCATACCAGCTACTGTGAAGAAAATTAACTCTTCCAGCCAAAACCAGCACACCCCCAGCCTCCTCGTTAGCTGGGTAGTATGAGAAGCTATAAAGTCCTTGACCTAGTGTAAGCACTGCCTAGCAACAACTGAAACATCAGTGTGATATCAGTACTATTCTCATCCCAAATCCAAAACGCAGGACTATATGAGCTACTGGAAGAAAATTAACTCCGTCCCAGCTGAAATTGTAATACATATGATGGCAGTAGTCGAATCCCCCAAAAGATCAAAGCAGATAGTACTCTTTAAGGTTAAAATATGTGATTTATGTAAAATACAGATAGATGTTTCCAGCTCTACTTACTGTGTTCTGAGGACCCATATAAGAGGTAAATGCCAGGATAGACTTAAGTTCACACTCCTGTTTATTACAAAGATTTTCACGTGTAGCAACTCCTTTGTGTGCACTAAGCATTGGGTAGATGATTTTGTGTAAGAATGAAAGTCACTTGTAGAAAGACACGTCTAAGAACACAAGGTGTCCCAGAAGGAATTAATATATAATAGTTCTCTGTACTAGTAAAGGCTATTATTGTTATGCTGTGGATTCAACATGATGATTTCCTCTGGTAGGTAAATCCTAATTATATGTTTCTTTCTAATTGTGGGTTTTTTTCCACCTTTGAGACAATGCTGTTTTATTTGGTTATCATTAAAAAAAGGATCTGATTTCTTTGTTTTAAAGTAAATAGAGTCCTTTTGTAAGAAGGGAATGGGAAGACATTTAATTTCTTCAGTGAGTTTACTCACTTGCCATGACTTTTTCTGTTATCAGATGTTCAAAATCAGCTTAGTTCTGTTTTCTCCTTTAATACCAAAGTAAACATTTCTGTAGGCTTCTGTGTTACAGCATCAGGTCAGTTGTAGACCAGCACTATGAAAAAATATTATACCTTGAGATACATAAAGATTATTTTAGTTTCCTAGGTGCTAAAGAGAAGTTTGGTGGGTTTTTGTGGGAATTTTTTTTTTTTTTTTAAAGTCACTAAAATGAATAGCAGATGTCTGGGTATCCTGTACTCCTAACTTGTTTTACTTCCAGAAAACAACTGAAGATAAACTCTGTGTTTCTGTTATTGTACATGTAGAATGTATTTGCACAGTTTTTGACAATCTCATTTCCCCCACCTTGCTTGTGTGTAGGTGTTCAAGCTTTTCTGAACTGCGATACTGGACAGTGACTAGTTTGCTGTATGGTTATTAATATGGCATAGTAAGAAAATATCATTTTTTTACTTGCTTCACTGATTAATTTTAAACATCCAAAACATATTTTTAGATTACAGTGTGAAGAAGGGTGATCCTGAAGAAAACTGTAAATTAAAATTGCCATTATTTATTTCTGTGATTGCCTGATTCTTTTCCTGTTTGTTTGGGTTTTTTTTCAGTATAAATGTACTTAATGGACAGACCATCAATATGGATGATTTAGAGATAAATACTGAAGTCACTGGTGCTAAAGAAGAAGAAATCCTATGTGATGATAATTTCATATCTGAGGAAGAAGGTGGCATTCCTAAACCACAAGAGAGCGACACGTCATTTCAGAAGAACAGTGCATTGACTCTGCCTGAGGAGATATCAAGGGACAGATCTGAAAAAGCCTTAAGTGGAGGCCAGGCTTCTCTATTTATACACACTGGTGCTTCTGCTGTTTCTAGTGAAAACTTTATCTTGTCTAGAGGAACTGCTGTTAATGGACCAGTTTCACACTCCACCTCAACTAAGACTTCCATTATGAATAAAGGCAGTGTTTCATTAACCACTGGACAGCCTGTAGGTCATCACACAGATTCCTGCTCAACTTTGACAGTGGTTCATGATCTTCAGCTGCCAGCAAAGAGTACAACACAGAAATCAAATCAGCACCAAGTTTTATTTTTGTTACCTGATGTAGCACATGCTAAAAACCTGACTCATTCCATTAAAAATCTACCTACCTCTGCTTCAGTTGGTTGTGATTCACAGAAATCAGTAGGAAATAGTGTAGATAGCACTTTAGTAGGCCAAGTAGAAGTTTGTGAGGATGATAAAAATTTACTAGTAAAAGATGATTGTGTCGATACATTAACAGGCATTTCCTCAGGTACAGGTGGTTTCAGATCAGGATGTGATCCCAGCTGGGATCCACAAAAAGAGTTTATACAGTTTCTTATGACAAATGAGGAAACGATAGACAAGTCTCCCATTCACTCTAAAGGAGGCTTAGAAAAAAAGCGGAAAAGGAAAATGGATGTTAGTAAAATAACACGCTATACTGAAGACTGTTTTGGTGATACCAGTTGTATTCCTAGTAAATCAGAACTGTTAAATGTTGACTTCTTAGAGCAGAATGAGGAGCTACAAATAGTAGAACCACAAAAATACTCTTTGAGTAAAGTAAAGCCTGAATCCACAGATGAAGAGCTGGAAGCTGTTGATGCTATCCAGCAGCTCATTTACAGTCCCACTAGTAACTGTGCAGAAGATACTTCTCCTGTTCACACTAGCGTTTTTCTTTCCAGTACTTTAAAAAACAAATGTGAACAGAACGATTCTGAGTCGCCGTCTACTTTCAGTACTGATGAACCATCATTTTATCCCTGTACAAAGTGCAATGTGAATTTTAGGGAGAAGAAGCATCTGCATAGGCATATGATGTACCATTTAGATGGGAACAGTCATTTCCGACATCTCAATGTCCCGAGGCCCTACGCATGTAGGGAATGTGGAAGGACATTCCGAGATCGTAATTCACTTCTTAAGCATATGATAATTCACCAGGAAAGAAGGCAGAAACTGATGGAAGAAATCCGTGAGCTGAAAGAACTTCAGGATGAGGGTAGGAGTGCACGGTTACAGTGCCCGCAGTGTGTGTTTGGTACCAATTGTCCAAAAACATTTGTGCAGCATGCAAAGACTCATGAAAAAGATAAAAGATACTATTGCTGTGAGGAATGCAATTTCATGGCTGTGACGGAAAATGAACTGGAATGCCATCGAGGAATTGCTCATGGAGCAGTAGTCAAATGTTCAATTATTGGTAGCGACATGTCCCAGAGGAAAACACAGAAAAAGGCGTCCTTGAAAGATCCGTATTTAGGATCCTCCAAAAAGTCGTCGATGTATATGTGTAAGATGTGTCCGTTTGCTACTTCGGCTAGAAGCATTTTAAAAAAGCACATGCAATATTTGCATCCACCATCATGCATTGATCCTTTTGGTAGCCACCTTAGACTAGAAAAAAGAAAAGGCAGCATAATAGAAGAATCTTTAGATTTTGGTAGCAGGACAAAACAGTTGATCAAACAATCTTCAACTTTTCCAAAGAACTCTGTTTTAAAACAGGATGTAAAAAGGTCATTTGGCTCTACTTCACAGTCCAGTAACGTCGCAAAACTTCACAAGAGACCCTACAGGATACAGAAGGCTCGGAAAAGCGTTTCACAGTCATCTGTAAGTGTGTGCAATCTAAATTCTACAAACAAGACCTTTTTGATTAGAAATAGCATTGAACAGAAACCTAAGTGTTTTCATCAAGCAGCAAAGCAGAAAGCTAGTGTCAAAACAAGTAGTAATTACTTATGTAGACACAAATACGAAAACCGCAGGATGATTAAAAAATCTAGTGGCTCTTATCCTTTGCATTTAAAAAAGGAAGAGTCCGACTTTGACAGTTCTTTGCATTTATTTTCTTCATCGAGTAGTCCCCATAATAATTGTTTTGTCATGGATTCAGATAATCTTGATTGCAGAAGGGCAGAAGGCTGTAAAGGCCCTAGGCATGCTGCTGTAAAAAGAGTGGTTAAAAAATCCGAAAGGGAAGGCTCTGTTACAGGAGATGATTTGGATTGCTATCCAGATTTTCTGCATAAAATGACTGTTGTTGTTTTACAGAAACTTAACTCTGCTGAAAAAAAAGACAGCTATGAAACGGAGGATGAGAATTCATGGGATAATGTTGAACTATGTGATTACACTACACAGTCTGTGGAGGACGAATCTTACAGTGATATTAATCAGGAGCATGTAAACCTATTCCCCATATTCAAAGGTAAAATGGAAGATCACGAAGTTGGTGATAAGTCTTCACTTGGTTATGAGCAGAATGATGGTTTTTATTTCGAGTATTATGAAGAAGCGGAGGGTAGTAACTTCCTACATGATTTGCATGATCCTCAGAATTTAGAAAATGTAGGATCAGCGTTGCCAAAGCATAATTCAGTTTTTCATTGGACTGATTTGTCACTTGAAAAGAAGTCCTGCCCCTACTGTCCGGCAACCTTTGAAACAGGTGTTGGATTGTCTAATCACGTCAGAGGACATCTTCACCGAGCTGGACTCAGCTATGAAGCCCGCCATGTTGTTTCACCAGAACAGATAGCAACAAGTGACAAAATGCAACATTTTAAAAGAACTGGAACAGGAACTCCTGTTAAACGTGTTAGAAAAGGTAAGCTTTTGTGTTTGGGTGGGGTTTTTTTTATTTTGAATATGAAGTAAAGGGGACAAAGGGGTTTGTTGAGCACTAAACAAGACTTGCTTTATCTTGTCCTTATGGTTTGCTATTGTAATGTTTAACTGCATATAATTGTCAAAACCCATGAAAATTACTTTCTTTGTAGCGATTGAGAAATCTGAAACTTCCTCTGAGCATACATGTCAGCTTTGTGGAGGCTGGTTCGATACTAAAATTGGATTGTCTAATCATGTGCGAGGACACCTGAAGAGGCTTGGCAAAACCAAGTGGGACGCACACAAGTCTCCGATCTGTGTTCTGAATGAGATGATGCAAAATGAAGAGAAGTATGAAAAAATCCTAAAGGCTTTGAACAGTCGCCGCATTATTCCCAGACCGTTTGTTGCTCAGAAATTTGCATCAAATGATGACTTTTTATCTCAGAATGTTATACCTCTTGAAGCATACCGTAATGGCCTAAAGACTGAAGATATATCCGTGTCTGCATCGGAGGAAGAAGGGCTGAGTTTCCTAAACGAATGTGATGAAACAAAAGCAGTACTACATGATGGGAAAAAAAATCAGTCACTTACACTGATAGAACTCCTGAAAAATAAGAGGTTAGGAGAAGAAAGGAATCCTGATATTTCTCCTCAAAAGTTTCATAATCAAACCGCAAGAAAGAGGTTTGTTCAGAAATGTGTTCTTCCATTAAATGAAGATGGTCCGTTGATGTATCAGCCACAAAAAATGGACTTGACTATGCAGTCAGGTAAGAAGATGTTTCTAGCTGTCTTGACAACATTTCCAACAAATAATTCATAAAAAATGTACAGGTGCATAGTATTTTACTGGGGATTCTGTTCATTTAATTCTTGTTTCATTTCCAGAGGACACTGACTGCAAGTGGTAGCACAGCAAATTTTTCTGACATGTTTTTCCTAAAGTGAAAAAAAAAACCTCAGCAGCACTGAGGTGTTTTTGGATGGAACATAGTTCCTGTTCTGCACGTGGCTGGGCATACAAATTCAAACCGGACACAAAATGAGCCTCAGTAAGGAAGAAGACACATCCTACAATAACAAGTTGAAGTGGCCATGAATATTTGGTAGACTAACAGTTCTGAAATGTTTGGGTCTGCAACCCTGTTTCTGGGCATTAAAACAGCTGGTTTGGGAACTGCTTCATTTGGGTCTTTGAGGTTTGTGCAAAGCAGCATTCACTCAAACTAGCAGAACTGTTGGTACCATTATAAACGCATAATATTCCAAATTGGTGAAACACTGTCAACTAATTTTGATGGTTTTAGGCAAACATACTCTTACAACATAGATTAGTTCTTGTTTGTTCCGAAATTGCGGCTGCTGTGAGAAACTGATGCTTGCTTAGGGTCTGTCTGTCCATCCTGAGTGAAGACCTGTGCTGGTTCAAGCTTTGTTGGAATACAGTTGTAGCTAGCAGGTTCCTCCTGCACAGCCCCTGACCCATATGGACAGAGATTTCCTCTCCACTAAGAATTGTGCTAATGAAACAATTCTACAGTCAACTTCCTAGATACTCTGTATACTAATAGACCAGGTTTTTAGAGTGATGCTTTTAACCTACTTCTCACATAAGAGTTATTTCTACTCTTGGGGAATTCTTACAACATCCTTTTAATGTGTATCTAGAGCTTGCATTTACCTGTTTCTTGTTTGGACACCACCTTACAGTGCTGCAGGATTCTTTAGATTGAAGAGCAGGATCTTGTTTTTATACCCTTGACTTTTTTGGTTCTGTTGGTTTTCTTGTTATTACCCAGTGCAGGTTAGTAAAACTGGCAGTGCCTAGTACTTTTTCCACCTATATTCTTGTCTTCCTTTAAACAAGTAAAAAGAACAATAACAATCCAACGTGCTCAGTTCTTTTAGGGGTCTACAGAAGTGTGCAATCAATTTCTTAACGAAGGTGGCTTTCTGAAATGATATAGGTGGAACAGAATTACATTCAATGTCTTCTGGACATCTGTGGTTGTCCTTTAAAACAGGGGGTTGCTTAACAAAGGAAGTGCATCTTTGACAGGCTTAATAATGATTTGAAAAACAATGCTAAAGGAATAGATTGCCAAACCTGACACTGTGTATTGCTTTCTGTTTAATGTTTACTGCTGAATAGTAGGTAGTACCTGTTCGGTTGTGGTGAACAACCGGGTAAAAATGAACATATGCTTGCATAGTACTAACAGTTATGAATGGGGCCCTATAATTGTCTGTGGCTGAGGTAACAAAATTTGACAACTAACGCACTGTGCCAGTTGAGTTAATAAGAAAATATTTAACATCGAGTTGAAATTCTTCTGTTTTTCCTAAAAAGGCAAATATTTGTAATTCTGGGGTTAGTTTTTAAAAAGATTTTTACCAACCAGGTGTTCTTCTGTAACTTGCCTGAAAAAACAGCATGTCTTCTGCGGGCTGCTGGAGAATAGGATTCTTTCTTTCCTGCAAACGGACGCTTTCCTGAAAAAAATGAGCTTTTTTAGTTACTCTTCTAATAATTTATTAGTAGAGAACTTGAAATGTTAGTTGACCAAAAAAACTATCTTTAGCAAAATGCAGGGAGAAACATTATGGTGAAGTGGAGCAGGGAATAAGTTATAATGGTTTCTTTGTCTGGTAAGTGAGGAGTTCAGTATTGTTTCGCTGTTTTCCTGTGATTACTAGCATGTTGCTTTGTTGATCATTTATTTAGCACAAAGATTTCAGAAACAAATTCAAATCAGTAACTTTCATTGTCAACTGCGCATCTAAAGTAATGGTCAGAAGATGCGCTGAACAAAACGCCCAACAGCTGTTCAGGGGTGTGTGTTACCACCTTTTTCTCTGAGCCTTCAACTGCAGCCTAATTTAGTATTGAGCTCCTCAGTTGTTATGGTAAAACACTCTTAATCACCACTTTGTCAACTAGACTTTTTAAATTCTCTATTGGAAATGTTGCAAGCTCTGAAATTTCTCGACAGAATTGTGCTATCAAATTGCAGGATTGTATTTTGGAATTAGAGCTTCATAACTTGGAGATCTGTAGGGACTTGGTAGTAGGTATTAAATGCAGAGTAGCCTAATGGCTCAAGTTGCCTCCTTTCTGTACTTTTTCAAATAACATGGTTTGGCTTAAAGCACTACATGGGAAGCTAATAACGGTTAACTTGGATCCTTCTAATATACTAAACAATTGCGTCAATGCAGTGAATATATTTTAAACCATCTTTATTGCAGAAAACTTTTTACAACGCTTTGAGAATTTCATTTTTTGAAGAGAGAACTGGATTATAGTTTTCTTTTGAATGATAGGTATGCCTGTGAAGCTTAGAACGTGTGTGCATTGCAATACGACGTTTACAAGTGCTGTTAGCCTGTCCAACCACTTACGCGCTTATGCACGAAAGAAGAGTGCTGGACTTTTGACTGGGACAGGTATGTTTTGTTACAGATGTAAAAGCAAGTCTGTCTATGATATATTTTCCTCATCAGACTGGACAAAAGCATACGTTAATTCAAAATAATTTTGAAGCTTATGCTGGTAAAAAAATTTATTTGACATAAAACTTCAGCAACGTGTAAGAAAAGATATGTTGCTGTTGTCCACTCTCATGTCTGATTTTCATTATTACTCATTTATTTTGGATCCGATACTTAAGGTATGTAAACAAAACTAAGAGATGGTTAAATTCATTCTCCTACAATATCACAACTTCCAAACGAGATAGCTGACCTTCTAATGAAGTGTTTAAAAGTACCTCAGAAACGAGAGAGGTGGGGGGAAATAACAAAACACACAGCAAACCAACAAGTAATTTTTACAGTCTAGTGCACATAATTACTAAGAATCCTGTAGTTAGAATAGGTAATTTCACACTTCGTGTATTTCTAACAACATACTGTATGTAGTCGGTTTCATTTCTTGTTTGACTCACAACCCCAAAGCTACCTGGGCTGACACGGAGTTGAGTGTAGTATAGCTTTTGGCACTGCTATTAATGTTTTTTAGTAAAACACACTTCATTTTGAAATTCTTCTAATATTCCATATTTTGACTCATTTCCAGAGACCTGTAGTTTGCTTGGCTGTAGGTAGTTTCTCAGTTTACTTGGATTTTTGCCAAGATTAGTGGGACTTCATATGATCAACAGCAAGTTGGGGAGCAGAGATGGAATATAGTGAGGATAACTCTTGAGATACAAAGTCTGCAAAATTCAGTGTTTAGGAAAGGCAACCATCAGTTTTCTGTGTCGTCAAGCACAGACTTTTACATAATGCTCTGGAAAAAAGCAGAGTTTTTATCTGCAGATGTAATTCATTACGCTAAGAATGACAAGTACGCTGAGTTTCAGACTTTCTCTGCAGAAGGCTAAAAGAAATATTTTTACAAACTGGGCCTGTGTCTGCCAGGTCTTACGTTATACTAAGTTAATGCCCTAACAAAGTAGATTTAGAAGGAAGTCAGCAGATGCAGTAATACCCAGTGTGTAGGCGTCTATGCCTTTAGTGGGTCTGAAAGTTTTAATACTTACTCAGAAGAAAGGTGATAGTAGTGGGCTTCATTTACCACTGCTGTGGTTTGGTGTTAGCCCTGTGTAAGTTACCTTGCTTATATACCTACGGGTGAAATATTTTTCAATAGCTGTGTATTTAAATTGCACACAGAAATCTTAGCGATAATTTATTGAGGAGACACTGTGGCAAGGAGGATAGTACACAGATGGATCCTGGAGAAGCTTCCTGTACCTCAGCTTCCCTTTTGTTGAACGGGAGAAGTGAAGGAAGCTTGTAATGGTGCTTTCAGGGATTTTTGGTGGTTTTCTTTAAGAAATGTATTTTGCTAGCAAAGTAGTAGCATACTCATCGGAATAGTTGACACTTTCTTTAAAAGAACCGAAAGAAAACTCCCGAGTCTTGTATCGTTGGACCTAAGTTTGTGTAAAACTAGGTTAGAAGCAAAATGAGGTTTGAAACAAAGCAAGGAAAAAAGGTTAAAGCCAGAACTTGTTTTAAAGTTGTGATCTCAGAAGCTGGAGCTGAGACAGAGAAACTGCCTGTGCCAGGTGGATAAAGGCCTTTCACTGAAACCAGTGACTTAGAGAGGCCAGAGTTCTAGCTATAACATTGTGCAACCAACGTATATTTGTATTAATTTAGTCATTACCGTTAAAACTGTTCTAACTGTGAAGTTTATAAACTTTGCTTGTTGAGTTTTCATTGGAGCAAGCTCAATGCAAGGCTTGTAGGCCAGAATATATACTTTTAAACAGTGGTTTTATCTGATATTCCCCTTTATATTTTAAGTTTTGTGAAGAGAATTATTTTAATGCAACTAGCACACACTAGTTTTAAACTTTGCTATGAGTGTTGCTCATGGGGAGATCTCAGTTTTTCTTTATTAAAAAATGGTTGCACTTGAGAGCAATTTCAAGATGTCTTCAGTTTGGCATCAGCCTGGAACCTGTATGGAGACAATGAGGATATGTTTATACAGAATCCTCATTCTGTTTTCACAAAACCTTTCTTACATCTCCTGAAGTAAACATAACTACTGAAAAGAAAAATCCCATTGGTTGACTATTTGGCTCAGTTTCTTGCTGTAATTAAATAACTGTTTGTAAACACGAATGTGGTAATTCTTTTATTTGGCAGTTGTTACGGGGCCTGTCTAGGCATTACTGTGTCATAAGAGACACAGTAATCTCTGCGTGTCACTCAAGTGAGACCTTTCCTAGCACTACGTAATAGTCTTCTGCTCAGTTTTTTAGTTTGCCTGTGTATGTTTCTGATACTGTTTCATGCTGCTCTTCTAGCAGTTCCATTGCTTCTTCAGAGTCAGTAATTTGATCACATTTAGTTAATTAACCTTTTTTGTTTTCCCCCAAATGCAACTTCAGTGTTTTAGCAGTATAATAGACAGTTAAGCGTAATGGTAAATTTTGAGAATTGACTCCAGAAAAACATCCTAGAGGTGGAACTTTCTAGGCTGTTGGCTGTTGAAGGTTAGTGTTTATTAAACTTAGTTGTGCCTGTAGCTACGCGGTATGGATCCACTGTGTAGCAAATGCCTGTCGTGGCTCATTTGGATAGTGACTTGCTTTTGTGTTAGTTCTGGCATGATGGCCTTCAAATAACTGACTGGAACATTTTGTTGTTGTTATGCAGTCCAGTTTTGAGCAATGTGATGATTTAATCACTCATCTTGATTAGATGCTCATTTCCTTTTGTATCTGTTTTGATGAATAGCGACACATTAGTGTTTCCCAGAGAATGTGGCAAACTTGCTTCTTTTCTTCTGATTACCTTTAAAGCATTGGACAGACTTCAAAATGCATCTCGCTCTTCTTGGTGGAGTTGTATATCCAGCTTCCTTCCTTTTCTTCTCTCTAGGCTTCTTCCCCTCCAAAGTCTCCTGATTTTCTCTTGCACCCTGGCTTTTTACATCATCTATTTGTTGACTCTTTTCACATACTCAGTCTCTTCTTACTGGCTGTCATCTTCCAGGGGTGTATTACTAAAGGGGCTTTTTTAATGCACTTCACTGTGGAAGGATAGATTGCAAGTGATTGAACTGGAAATAGTGAATAAATATACAAGAAAAATAATTACTTTTTTTTTTTGGTTACTTTTTAATTGGCAGTGTTCTTAAATAGTTAATTAGATCCGTTTATGCCTACAGTTATTCAACTTGTGTTGGCTTATGTATGCTATGACAAAAGTGATGAAGACTGAGTAAAGACCCAGCTCCAGTCTTCCTGCAGTGAGAAGTGTTCCATGTTGGGGGACATCAGGAAGTGGAGCCTGCAAATTAGCATAGATGCACTTTTAATTTTGAACCTCAGAACAAATGGCATGGCATGAAGGACCTCTAATCATGAATTTTCTAATTCATGTTGGTTTAGGCATGCTCATCTTACCTCCCATCCCCATCTGCTTGTAGTCTTCCTTGGTAAGTGGTCACAGAGGTGAAGAAGGTTTTTTATGCAGCCTTTTTACCTAGCATATATTTTTCTAAATAATGTGCTCTGAACCTGAACTTGAATGCCTTAAGGAGATTCATACGAAGTTTGTCTTTTGTTTTAGATGTGTTGTTTCTCTGTCATGCTCTATCAGAGATGTCTTGAAGTAGTTGAACTGTTTTTTACAAAAAGTTTTTGGACTAGCAACTAGGAAACACCAGGTGGCCAAACTTGAAGGAAGGCTTTTTCCAAGAAGCATTGGGTCTTCAGGGAGAATTAAGGACAGTAGTTTCGGAGCTGTGATAGCCACGACAGTAGGCAGTTCCTGCCCATCTCTGGCAATTTGCTGCAATTTCCATGCAGCTTACTGGAGCTAAATTATCCTTAGTCTCTTCCTGAGAGTGCTAAAAACATCCCTTCTGAGATGGTCATACTTTGTTACAGTAAAGGTATTGGAAGAACAGCAACTGAGTTTTGGTTAGAACATGGCTGCGGTTTCTTAGGGTGAGGCAATGGTGTGACTTGATGCTTGCAAGCACTTGTGAGCATCGTAGCAACTGAGTACTTAAGTATGTGCATGTGACTTCATTTAAACTTGTTGGTCTCTGGATAGAAAAAAATGGAATTAATTTGCCAGTTACTGGTACATGTCTGATAACTTCTGTTGGAATTACAGTTTTCAGTCGTCTTTACACAGATTTTAGTCTTTCTCCACTTACTTTCTTGCTTCATTGGAGTAACTTCAAAATGTACTTGTGCTGCTTTGTGCCCCCTAAAAGATAGAGGAATATGTTCATTAGGTCAAAAGACAAAGGGAACAAAAAGTATCCCTTGCAGAACACATTTTCTGTCTTTGCAACAGCTTCTTGCTTGGGCACATCTACTTCCCATCTTCGCTAAGTTATGCTGAGAATGCACTGAGTGAGCTGATGCCTTTTATGGTGATATTTTCTGTTCTTTGTTTTGTAATTTCTTTGTCTAGGGCCTCCCTTGTAAATGGCTCAGAGAAGATGCCCATTCTTCTATTTTACTTGTTTTCTCATTGTTCTTGGAAAAGGCACCTTTCGAGAAAGTAGAAGGTACCTGCCCTGGTACATTATGGCATATTCTGTTTGTTTGTGTTGCTGTCTATTTGATTTCATAGTAGTTCAGGTGGATTTTCCTTTGAAGACTACACACAAGTACAAAACTCTTAGGTTTCAGTAACTCTGTTGCAGAAGACCAGTACAGATCTAGTAAGAAAGTGAAAGCTCACTGAAATGCTTGAGATGTATGCGAGCAGAACCTCTTGGTGGGAATGAATGTCTTAAATTTGCCATCATGAAGGAAATAAGCTATTTCTTGTTTCAGCTGCATGTGGGCTTCTAGAGGAGCCTGCTGTCTACTGGTTTGGTTTTTGGTTTGTTTTTTTTTTTAACTCAAATCAACTGACACCAACTAACTGACATCACATGCAACTCATGGGCATGTTTGTATTGGGATAATAGTGACTTCTGTTTCCCTCCTTCCTGTGATGTTCTGCAGATTGGCAGTGGCAAAGCTTTTGCTGTAATAACTGCTTCAGACAGGTCACCCCTCATGCAAATAGTTCCCTTCAGAGAATGGGTGTCTGGGTTTCGGTATTGTGTCTGCTTACATTTCTGGTGACGTTGTTACTGATGTTGCGGTATGTAAAATGTTTATACTACTTGGTAGTTCCTACAGCCTGAACGATAGTTAGCTTTCCTTTCTAATTACATGAGGAATATGCTTCTGATGAGAGCGTAAAGCATGAAGAACTCCCTGCCTCACTTTTCCAGAAGTTACCTTGGCCATTTCTCTTTCCCCTGCCACCTTGGGTTATCCAGACAGCTTTCATTGTTTCTATCAGAAAAAAATTCTGTCGAGCCTCATCTTCCTAATTAGGACTTCCTAAGGAAGTCTCCTTAGGTTGGTATCTGCTTTCTGCTGGTTTGAGTAGTTAGTTCTCTGGTACCTGCAAACCTCAAGAATTCATTCTAATTTTGCTAGATACTCTAGGAATTTTTAAATCTGGGGATGGAACTGGGAAATGGCTGTTGTATCTACAGGTTCAAAGTTTGGCTGTGCGGTAAAAGCTTGGGAGGTGCTCATTTGGAGGGCATAAGGAAAATGAAGGATGCGTTCAAGACTGGGTGTTCTTTGAATCAGCATGCTTTGCCTCACCGGATGCACTCCTACGCTTCGGAGTATGAAGAGGTTTATTCTGGTTTATGTTGCAGGACTCAAACTTATACCTAAGTGTTACCGTTTTTTAAGTTTTACTGATAAGACGCTTCAGCAGCATAGCATGCCTTTTGGTATCAAGAATACCAGTTGTTACTGTCTTTCAGGTTTCTGTGGAGTTCTAGTGTCTAGTGTTTGGGAACAGGGTGTAGCTAGATACACTTCTCACTTCAAGCAGCCCCGAACTTCTTGTTTTTTCTTGAGCTTAGCCGTTTTCGTCACAACAATATTAACTCTGTTTGATCCCCTCATCGCCCAACTTTGACCACTTTTTGCAATCTCCAGATTTTGTAACAGATTCCTGTTACATCTCTTCATGGGAGGTATCGACCTCAGTGCTGTCCGAACCCACTTGTTATGTGTTTCCTGTTCACACACATTATTTTCATACAGTTTCAAGTGCTTAGGCTGAATTTTAAAAATGGCCTTGCCATCCCTGTTGAATGTCCTGATACCAGCTCCCACTGCCAAGGATTAATATGTCATTTTTGCAGGATGCATTGGAATTCAGAAAGGGGTGAGAGGGAAGCTTCATTTGAAATTCTTACGATAAAAGGACAAACTTACGGTTTACATTGAAAAGAAATGGCAGGTGTTTTATTCAAACCAGAAATTCTGAAAGCTACAACTTTGTGAAGTTATAACTTGGTTGAACATGAGTGGTCTTACGATGGTACCTGGACCACAAAACAGGTCCCAAGATTTTGACAGTGTTTTATGCATGAGGGAATTTTACCATGGTGCTTTGTTTCTGTATAATTGTGCAATAGCTTAGTAGGTGCTTGCTGATCCTAAAACAACAGTTGAATGCTGAATGTCAATTATGTAGTCTTTTACAGAGCGAGGACTGTGCTACACAAAAGAAAAAAACAGCTTCATGTGTTTTGCCAGTACATTTCTTAGAGCACACTGTAACTGTTTCGGATTTGCATTCTAATTACATGTAGAAAACAAGGAGGTAGCTGTCATTTCACTACTGCTATAGGGGATGCTTACTAAGTATCTCTGTTTGGTTAACACTCCTTGAAGTTTCACTTTCACATATGGACATTTCTCTCTTCTTAGCTCTAGACTGTAAGCAAAAGAAGTCAAGGTCAAGATCTGGAAGCAAGAAAAAAATGCTGCCATTACCTCATAGTGCTGATGAAGTTTACATACTCAGATGCAGGTACATAGGGTTATTTTAATCCAAAGAACGTGTTCTTAAGAGCTTCCTGATTTTAGTCATTAGAAGATCTAAGATTGTATCCTGTAAACGTGTTTGTGATTAAATTGACTCATAACGGGGGGAAGCAGTTGCCTGTTTGCAGTAATGTGAACAGGAGGATGTGATTCAGTCATACTCAAGTCTTGGGTTGCCAGCTGTTTCTCTAGCTAAAATCTCATTGGTTGTGACTGAGTAATATTGTGTCCTTCAAAAAAAAACCCTTACTTAAGAACAAGAGATTGTTACTGGTCGTGTTAAAAATGTAAGAGTGTGAGGCCTATAAACAGCAGTTTTCTTCTGCTCACAGTTACTGTAAATTAACTCAATTACTAAGGTTTTCAGCTAAACGATGTAGAAACAAGCATTAGGGAAATTAAGACTTTCCACTTACTGTCTTTATTTTGTAATTTTCAGTCGAGCTAGATATGTCTTGATGGAATAATTTTAATATTTGCATAGGTTTTGTGGTCTGGTCTTTCGAGGACCTTTGTCTGTTCAAGAAGACTGGATAAAGCACTTGCAGCGACACATTGTCAACACAAATCTTCCACGGACTGGAGCTGGCATGGTTGAAGTCACATCACTACTTAAAAAGCCCGCTTCAATTACTGAAACTTCATTTTCTTTACTGATGGCAGAAGCAGCATCATAGAAGAAGGAAACATTTTGAATTTTAATTGGATGTAAATTTGAAATACTTTGTCATTTTTTAAGATAAATTGCTACACTAAATTATGTTTATAAATGCTAAAGACAGAAAAATAGAAATGGATTACAGTAACATCAAAATACATTGAATACTTAACAGTTACAGTAAGTAGTCTTTATATTTTATATAGGGTGGAAGATGTGTTTTTAAGGTTTATTATGTTTTTGTCAGTTACTGTGTTCCCTACCAATTCAAGACCATTACATGTATGGCAGCCATTTTTAAATTGTTGCACATGGGTACTTAACAGGCAGATTTTCATAAAACAAAGAAACCACGTTCTTTTCAGTGTTACCCAAATCAAGGCTCTGTTTATTCCAAAAAGAATTACATAGTAAAATAAGATATTATTATATTTTGTTTGTATGTATGTAGTGTTTTGTATAATACCGAGAACTGCTAATACAATTTACTCGACTTAGGGCATTAAATACCATGTACTTCATAGTTCAAGAGACTGTTTCATGCAAATAGGGCAATTAGTACTATTCTATCTAGGTGTGTGTTTTTTTTTAAATCACATGAGGCTTTTTGTACTAAAAAGTGGAGGGAAAGTTGTTTAAACAAATTTCTAAGAGAACTATGTACATAATACTGGAAATTTGTGGTAAGGAAATATTCTTTACTTCAGTTGCATTTCTCACTGACAATAAAGTGGTGCATCCATGCTACCTCCTACTTGTCAACAAAGATGGTATTTACCCTTACGTTTTTGTACCATAGCAGACTCAGTCCAACTTCCTGTATTACAGAGCATCTTTTTGTTAACAAGTTTGTTTCTTTATGATGATTTACCTGAAGTCTGACTTGCTTACAGACGTTTGCCTCTGCTATTTTATTTAACACTGTAGAAATGTACTAATAAGCATTGCTCACTACACGGTTAGAGTAGACTTTTCATTTATAATTCTGTTTAAAAGGTTGATCATTTTAGAAAATTTGAACACAGATTGAAATGTTTCTACATATGAAGAGAATGTTTACAACTTAAGTTTTAGAGCTTGTTTTGGATGTGATTATATGTATGAAAACTGTAACACTATGCTCATGCTAAGGACCTACTTACAGAATTACTGAAATAAATGTGCTGTGAGGATGGAAATACGGTGCAGGTGTCTTGGTCATGAAGAATTGTGTTTGTTCATTTAAACTGTCCTCAGAACATGATTTTTGTTTAAATCAAATCAGGTTTCTCTACAAATCCAGTTTTGTATGCAAGTAACATTTCATTTTGCTCATATAGGGTAACAGATACTGTAGTTAAGCCAAGGATATGCATTGATATTTTCTTTATATGTAAATAAAGTTAAAAGCAGTTAAAACAAGAGGAGTATTTTGGTAGAGTATATACATACCTCACTGCCAGTGAAATTGCTTTCCTATGGTATATCTCCTTACCAGAAAAATCTCTAAATAAAAAGGTTTAAAGAAAATCTAAATGTCTGTAATGCGAAGCATTTATTTGCATTGTGTGAGTTACCTTTGTGAAACTGGTTTGTCTTGCTTGAGATTCGAATCTTCTCTTGATCTTAAGTAAAAGTCCATTTACTTGCAATAAACTGACTTGTTCACAGAGGCGTTCCATTCGATTGGTGGCAGATTGGGGTACGTGTGGGTCCTCCTGCCCCGGCGCCGCCCGGAGGTGGCCCACGAGGCTTCCGGTAAAGTAGCTGGGCTGAAAACACACGGCTGTGCCAGGCAGTCCTGAGACAGGCCCATCATTAAATCAGTGCTGTCAGGGGTTTCACCGTACTGGTTCTTACAGAGGACTTTGGCTTTAGGGTGAAAACTTAGCCTCCCCCTCCCCCCTGCTTTTTTTGATTGGAAAATCTGCGTGAGTACATTTAAAAGGGGGTGAGGGGAGGGAACTTTAGAGATTTAGGAAAGGTAACTGGGATGTGGGAGCGTATTGCAGACAAATGGCGTGTATGCAAACTAACAGATGTATCAATTTGTGGGATTTTTTTGTACGCTGTGAAGGTGGAAGATTTTGCAGCAGTATATTGAAACAGAATAGGGGAAGTGATCCTTGAATGTTTATAATGTTTATAATGCTTTAATAGAGTGCTTGTTTACCCTTCTCACCAAAAAAGGTGCTTGTGAGAGCACCGGTGAACAGATGACAAGAATCAGTGAAGTGCAAATGATACTTATCTAGTGTTGTTGAGGATGCTTGTGAGGTGAAGCCATACCATGTGGAACTTAGCAGTGGCAACAAGCTACTGGGTTCATAATAATTAAAAACATAGTTAATTCTATTTAATTCATTAGCCCCCGGTAGTGAGCTGCTTTGTGTACCACTATAACCAGTGTTTCCAGTACCTGATGGGGCTACAAGGAAGCTGGGGGGCACTTTGTACAAGGGCCTGTAGTGACAGGACAAGGGGAAATGGGTTTAAATTGAAAGTGGGGAGACTTAGATTGGACATCAGGAAGTTCTTCCCGGAGAGGGTCGTGAGGCACTGGCACAGGTTGCCCAGAGAAGCTGTGGATGCCCCATCCCTGGAAGTGTCCAAGGCCAGGCTGGATGAGGCTTTGAGCAACCTGGTCTAGTGGAAGGTGTCCCTGCCCATGGCAGGGGGGTTGGAACTAGATGGTCTTTAAGGTCCCTGCCAACCCAAACCATTCTGTGATTCAGTGAAAATGCAGGGCTGTGGCTGAAGAGCGGAGAGCTCTAGGCCTGATTAGTTTCCAAAACGAGGTTTGTTTTGATGCAGAGCAGCGGTTTTCGGTGGTAGGGTTCCTGCACTGGCGCTGTGCCCTGCTGCCATCAGGGCCTTGACAGTGGGGTCTGAAATAGATACGGGAGTTGCAGAACACGCGTGATGATGAGGTTAGTTGCATACGTGTCTGATACAGGCTGAACAATGTTCTTAAAAGATTAAAAGGGAGTACCCTTGTAGTTTCTTCGGCCTCTGCTCTTCAAGTGGGGCTAGTTCTTGGTTTCTGGGTTTGGAAATGCAGTCTCCCAAGTGACGGAGTTTCTGAACCATCTGGTAGAAGACGAGGCAGGCGCTTCGCTGCGTGAGTCCCATGGTTTGCGACGTGTGGCTTGCGGGGCGCTGGCAGGCTGTGCTGAAGGGGGGCACTGCCAGAACTGCTCGTGCAAACATGGGTGTCGCTGGCTAGGTGGCGTCCGACGGGAGGCTGCAGTGGTGTAGTGGTACTTGATCGGTTGATTTGGGTTCTTTACCACGATCTTGCCTGTTTCTGGAGTTACCCTTGTTTCTGCTGGAGTTCTCTGAAGGAGCAGCCTCTGGGAAATCATGAATTTGCAGAATGCTTAGGGAAGCCTGGGAAAGTGTAGAAGACCACCCCTCCAGTTTTCTGAGATGATTGCCTGTATCCTCTAGTCCCAGTGATACTTCCAAATCATCTTAAAAGATCAAAACTCTCTTCGCATTCCTCGAAATGACGTTTCTGTGGGACCCTGGAAAGGCGGTTTTCAAGTGCCGCCAAGCCGTAGTGTGTCCGGGCTGTGTGCATGGAAAGTGGGAGAGGGCGGCGAGCGGATGACAGATGGTGGCTCGTAAAGATCCCTGGGCATTTGCCATGTGGACTATGTGAGTTGTATTAGTTGGACTGCCCCCACCAGCCAAGGCAGCTCAGCTCTGCCTGCAAACCCCACTTCTGTCAAGTACTTTTGGCTGAATGCTGAGGGCTGCGGAAGAAGCCTGTTCAGTTGGGCACGACAGCTACAGACTTTGCCACTTTGTGATCACGGTAGTTCATGGCCTGGATACTTCCGCAG